GGTGAGATTGTTTTGGCAACTTTTTCCTAAGATAAAGAATGAAGTCTCGGTGCCGGTATTTGTTGTAGTGCAAACCAGTTAAAGGCAAGGGCATCTAATGCTGGGAGGACAATCCTTGCACATGCACATGACATGCATTTCAGCAAGGCACTTCAGCCCTGCTGAGTAACTACAAGGTGTCAGCGTGGATGTCTCTGCAACCTCACTCAACCCAAACCCCGCATTGACCTTTTGACTTTAACTGGAGCAAAGCACGGCTGGTTAAAGGAAGCTCACAGAGAGCTGATCGAGAGGTAAAAGGTGCAGGGGGCGAAAGGACAGGACGCAGTGAAGGAAGATGAAATGGAGAGTATATTGGGGAAAAGGTGCAACGACTCCTGGGGTGTCAGAGAGAACGACTTGAAGAGAGAGAAAGGGAGATAGAGATGGAGCAAAGACTCCCGTAGGTAGAGAGAGAGAGAGAGATGGAGGAGGAGAGGGAGGCGTTAGCCTCGGGGTAAGAAGAAAGAGGATGAATAGTGAAAGCAGGGTCACAGCATGGGGCAGAGAGCAAGGAGACACGTAACAAGGTGAGATAAGAGCCGGAGTGGCAGCAGGGAAGAGGAAGCGACAGAATCTTTCCGTTCTGTCTTCATCTTTCCATCAACCTCTCTTCTTCTGGTGTCACCGTATGTCCGTGTCCGTGTCCATGTCCGTGTGTGTGTGTGTGTGTGTGTCCACTGAGAATCCAGCTTGTTCTAGCATAAGGTAAAACATGGGCGGCGTGCTCCTGTCACAGATCGGTTTCATTTGGTTGCAGTCGAGCTGGGTGGAAGCAATACGCAGATACTGCCTGTTTTTTTGCCTGTGTGCGCATCATGCTCTGCGGGTGGGCATCAAATTCAATTTGAGATTCAGCACTTACAGAAGCCTGTCCGCTCCTCAGAATACATACTGTTTTCTTCTTTTTTTGCCACACAATTCACAGCCTGCGATGACTGAAACCTCATCCTGAGAGATTTAATACTGGGCTCTGTCCAGGTGCTACCATCGTCATCTTTGTTTACGCTCAATGCACGCTGCCTCGCTGTCTCCTGTCTCACTGACGTGTTTGCTGATGTTCTAATGGACCGTTTCGGGCATTTCTTAAAGCTGCAGTAGTTCATATTTTTCTATTAATATTTTAAGGGATTAAAATGACTACATGTACGTTAAAAGTGTCAATCGACAACGCCGTCGTAGCCACCTGTCAATCACAAGGTAGCCCCACCCTAAAGCATCCCCTGCTTTATGGTCTGTTTGACTCTAAATGGACCATAATGTACTAAATGAACATCATGCTGTATTGAAGAAGACTTGAAACTAGAGATTGAGACCATAAACTCATGTTTACTGAGGTAATAAATCAAGAGAGAAGTAGAGTCATCATAGACTTCTATACAACCAGACTAGACTAATAGAAAGAATGATTTTAGTTTAAGCCCTTCTGCATTGGCTTCACTTTTCACAAACGGAGATTGCTGCCTGGCTTTAGTGGCAAATGTCCACACACAGGACTAGAGAAAGAATTTAATTGAGTACTCCTATCACAGTACAACAGCATACAATTTGTATTTAGTTATATACGTTTCTTCTAAGCAGGGTGTCATTCAAAAGTTGTGATCAAATGTTTTCTTCCTGAATATAGAACAGGTTAAAAATATACCCGAAATATAACAAAAGGTCAGTAACAATCAGGAGAAGCAGACATTTTCCGCCCAAACTGCCATGGGTATAAACTCCGTCAGGGAAAAAAAAAACATGAGCTGTCAAGACTTGGTTATCCCTTCATCCCCAACCGCTCACTTCCATCCTTCGATCTTCCATCCCTTCATCCCTCTACCCAACTCCCATCAAACCTGCGGCTGACTGACAGCCGTCCCTGTGAGGCTTCCTTTTTGGAGGAAAAGCTTACACATACGCACACACACACACACACCCACGCAACCATCTGATCCGATGGCGTGACTCCCCGTCAGTGGTGCCGCTCTCTCTGTTTTGGTGCGTTCTGACAGGCCGGTGTTGGCTTGTGTTAGCTTGTGAATGTGTTCAGGGCTTCAGGGGTCAGAGCTGCGCTGCAGCCTCAACGCACAGATGTGGACTCTCCCTGACGTATCCAGCCGAGCGGAAAAAGCTCCACGAGCAACCCTGCACATATGCAATAGGTGATCATGAAGACCTGCATGTGCACAGACGTACAGTTCGGTGCATTGAAGCGGCATGTAGAATTGCTTAAGCTGGCCTAATTGGACACAGTGGGGGTTCAAGAAGGAGACATTCTATGTAGAAAAACAACAAAAGAAATTGCTCTTATTCTGTAGTTGTTTGTTCTCATGTTTACTTTGTCAGAATAAAGTGGAAAAAATCCAACAAACCAGCAGCATCAGGAACTACATGTACATCTTCCACCATGTTTTAAGATGGAATAGAATTTTTTATTTCTTCCTGAACAACATGAATCCATAGAGATATCACAACAAACAGTAGAACATTGATTGACACGCACACGGAAAAAGGAAAATTTCAAATTGTCTCACACATAGACGCTGAAACTTTGACAACTTATTTGAGGCAGTCAATATGAACAAAGTGAAACGGCTAAAAAGATGTAAGAAGAGGAGATGAAAAGAGATGAAAATGTAATCCTATAAAAAGCAGAGGAAACCGGTCCAACTTTTAAAATCCAATAAAGTTGAAACACTGCGTGTGATAAAGAAAAATGGAGCGCAAACACGTACAGCAATAGCAGCAAACTAATCACAAGCAAGAAACAATAGCAGAGCAAAGTCAATATAATTAGTGTGTGTGTGTGTGTGTGTGTGTGTGTGTGGGAATGGTTGGAGGCTCATGAGACAAAGAGCCTGTTTTCACTTCATTTTTTTTTCTTCAAAGAACAGCTGCTGTAGCTGCGACTGTCTTATAAAACTACACTCCCATTTATTAGCTGCGTATCTTGAGGGCCGTTTGAGGTTTAGGGTCCGGGGCGTGATGCCCCGAAGCTGTGAAAACGAGCCCATGATGGGCACGAATCCAAATCTTTTTCAGCGGCGCGCCACGTTTGCACATCTTTTACGCGCTGCCAGAAAGGGCGGCGACGCGCACGACTCCCACGCCTTCCGCATATTCTCACGATTGTCCTTTTGTTTTTAAGCTCGTGTACCTTCATCCTCGCAGCGACTCTGTCACAATTTCTCCTTGAGTCGTCTTTCTCGTCCTACGTAGAGGAAGGCGTTCTTATGAAAAATCTCACAGAGGAAGAGAGCCAGTCAGCTCTAAGCTGTCCACTAAGTCTAAGCTGTATGTCCACGATATGTCTGAGGCAGTGCTTACTGCTCTGTCTGTTTGCTCAGACTCACCAAAGCCCATTGTAGTATTTATATCTTACTCCTCTTTTACCCTTTTCCTCTTCCTGGAGAAAAACAAACTCTGTTTTACCAGCTTTGGAAGAAAAATAGAAGCTTAAGAGTTGGAAATAAATAAATAAGGGGATCGTTTTTTTTAACTGAAAGAAACAGACAGACTCTGGATGTGTCTGTCGGGCGAGTGTCTGTGCGGAAAAGTATCGATCCAAGCAGATGAACCAGTGGTTAGCCTTGGTTTGGAATGTTTGAAGATGAGTCTTCCCTCCACTTCCATCTTTTCCATTCCATCTTTGTTTCTCTTTCCTCCTCTCTCTCTCTCCTCACACCGTCTCTGTCTCTCCCTATCACCCGTTCCTCTCACTCCCTGGCTCGCCTCCCTCCGCCCGCCCGTCGCTTACAAACACACGGCTCATTTCTGTCGTCTTGCCTGCTCACTGGAGCCTGCTGCTGAAGACTGAGAGGACCTGAGACACGCATGTGGCAGCCCGCCAACCTGTTTGTGTGTTTTGGATCACTGGTGTCTTTATCCAGCAGCTCCCCGTGTGTGTGTTGTGTGTTGTGTGTGTGTGTGTGTGTGCGTCTGAGAGCAGAGATCGGCTGAGGAGCAATAGGGATGAGTGCTGAACGTGTCTCAAGTATCTTCTCAATTACACAAGGTCCTCAGCTCGTGTGTGTGTGTGTGTGTGTGTGTGTGTGTGTGTGTGTGTGTGTGTGTGTGTGTGTGTGTGTGTACACAAGTCCAGACGCATCTCCTGGTGGAGATGTACACAGATTGATTCTCGCCTATTGATTTTGCGATTCTCTTATGCCAATGCTCAAACACCGTGTATGTTTCACTGTGGCAGTGTGTGGACATGTAGAGGAAGGGAGAGCCAGAGAGCTGGGCGGCAACCGAACGGATGGCAGCCCCATCGGTCTCGGTAATTGAGTTATACTTTCCCGTTTAATTCAGTAGTTTCCTGTGACGGAGAGGAAACTTTTCTGTTTTGCATTTTGTTTTGCATTTACCGACAAGCTTATTGACTCTGGGACAGCCGGGGCCTGCTGAATTCAACACAGCAGACTTATAATGTATGGCAAGTTGTGTTTGTCCGTTTGCACGCAGAATGTCAAGGTTCTATGAAAAAAGTTTCAAACGGTGCGTCAACAACCGCATCTATTATTTACGTCTGAAAATACTGAAATGATGAAAACGTAAGTTTAGTTTTGTGGAGCCGTTTTGCTTTGGGCCCTTTTGGAGTCTTCTCAATAATTAGTTTGAGGTTTAAACTGTGATTTATTAGTCCACAGAATGTTCAGCATTACTTTGCAAACCCTTCATACAAAATAATATCTATTTGTGAAGAGATCTTTCTACAACCTAAAATAATAAAAGACAATTCAGACATATAGAGTTGCCCTCTCAGCCGTCTGATTTGTAACAAATCAAGTATACATATAAAACATAATGCCTCTTAGTTACAGCAGCACTGGGGGCGTGTCAAAGAGGCTTTGATTCAATCTTGGCTCTTATTTACTGGTGGAAACCTTCCCTGATGGCCTGCTTTCTCCCATTTCTTTCCTTCCTTTGTCCACCCCAATCCTCCTCTTCCATCCTCCTCCTGTTCCTTTATCCTCTAGGTGTAGCGGAGGTGATAGTTCTGGTGGGAGGGCGCCAGGCGATCGGGATGAGCCAGCGCTCCCTGACAGCAGTCACCTGTTTTAACCCCCAGAGTAGTAAGTGGTACCCGCTGGCCAGCCTGCCCTTCTACGACCGCGAGTTCTTCAGCGTCATCTCGGCGGGAGACAACATCTACCTGTCGGGTGAGCTAAATCGCCCGCTCCAGCAGCACAATTGTAGCTTTTCCCCGTCGCAGTCATTTAGCGGCACAGAGCAGGAGGACAGTAGATGCCATCGGTTTATCTCACTGCAGTAGTGAAAGGTTATCCCTGCATCCAGGAACAGTTCACGTTAACTGTGTCATATGATTCGTTCAAATGAAAACACAAACGTTGGCCTCAAAATGTCTTCTTTAGATTTACAAAGATGTAATACAAGAATAACTTGCCCACATGCAACACCGGGTTGATTTTGCTGTTCCTAAATAGTTTCCTCCCTCTCTGTGGATGGAAATGTCCGTTGGTCAGTTGGCCCACCCGCCGCAAATATCTCAACAACTAATGGATGGATTGCCGTGAAATATTCTCCAGACGTCCTTGATCACCAGAGGAGGAATCCCACTGACTTTGGTGATCCTCTTGTCTTTTCATCCGGCGCAACCATGAAGTTGACCTTTGTGTTTTTTAGTGAAACAACTATTAGATGGATTGCCATTAAATTTTGACGGACGTTCATGTTTCCGCTGACGATGAATTGTGATACACTGTTATCATTAGAGCCTCCAGAGCTGCTAGCATGGCTGTCAACTCTTCGCCTCACTATGATAATAACGCCTACCCAAAGTGTTCAGACTCGACATGAACATTTCCTCATTTTGATTTTCATCACTGCTCATTTTTTTCAAGGTAGAAAGACATTTTGGTTTTAGATCAAGAAAATCAAGCCATTGGATTTCTGCTGCTGACCTCTTTTGATAAATATCCTTTCATCAAACTGAATCTTGCTAAAGGTCTTTCATTCATGAACATTTTCTCTTTATGACAAATCTAACTCAGCAAAGTGGAGCTACCCTGGCCTTCACCTACTTCTTGTGACCTTTGTAAAAAGAGTCAAAGAGTTTTAAAAGGATGGCCGCCCTCAATCGCCGACTCATCTTTTGCTTTGAAAACTTAGTTCTGAACAACACTGCAGACAACTTTGATGTCTTTCTTTTCAGAAGGGTCCTTTTGTATTGAATGTCTCTCCTGTTTACTTTCTCTAGAGCTTTTTTTATTTCTTTTTTTAAACTTTTTTTTTGGCTTTACAGTCGCTGCAGTGTTCTGCAGTTTATTTTGTTCCGAAGTGGCACGCTGTGCACTCCGTGACTCCCTCTATGAGACACCTTTAAGTTGCTCCTCCAGAGGCAGACTGAATTTCTCCCTCCTCGGTCCATTTGTGCGAGAATCCTGCACGGTACTCAGACCTTGACATTGCACCGTGGAAATGCAGCAGGATTTGTCCTGCGTGCACCTTTCCTCTCCCTCTTTTCATATAAATGTAAATTTGTGTTTGGGCATTGGAACAGGTATGCATGTGTCCGCTGGGAGTCGGACAGCCAGCGGGGAAATCAGAGGTGTTCTAGCAGGCCAATCAACAGGCTCCGGTCTGTAGCCCTCCTAACACTCTGAGCTGGGTCACTGAGTCACGGCTGGTGTTACATGTCAGACTACACCTCTAACGGAGCCGCCTCGAAGAGAGCTGAAACAAGTAGAGTTTTGATGGTCGGCTGGTTGCCAGCGGCAAACAACTTTCAGTCAGGTGGCCATGCGTATCACCTTTTCTTTTAAATCTCTGAAAAAAGCACCTCATATTTAGGAGCAGATATTTCAATATTGAATAGAAAAGCGTTTGAAGAAAGAAAGACAAAGGAATATGTTTAAATATTCTAATCATTATCTTAGCCCTGTGTTTTTTTATCCTCATACTTATAGTTCCAGGTATTAAGGAGCTGAAGGAAGGAGAGCCGCAAATATAACTTTGTTTTTATTTTATATATTAGAAGAAATGTCCACCCCTTGTTTTAATGTAGATATTAAACACACCCAGTACCTCCTTGTTTTGAAAATGAAATAGTACACAATTTGAATGAGCTGTTCTGCCTTAAATCCTCGGCCGAGATAATTCCTGAACCTTTGGAAAGCACTTCCTCTGAAGCATAGACATTTTATATATATATATATATATATATATATAAATATATATATATATATATATATCCTACAATAACTAAATGAAGTCTGTTTTCTCTGGTCGTAACCCAGGTAGAGTTCTTGAGGTTCTTAAAAGGTTCTTGGTTTCCTGGGATAGTTCATACAGTGGAAACACCTTTATATAATCACCCCACTTGCCCACTTTAATAACCCTTTACCTATATGTTTCAGGGGGCACAGAGTCTGGTGTGATGTTGGCTGATGTATGGTGCTACATGTCCCTGCTGGACAACTGGAATCTGGTGTCCCGGATGACCGTGCCCCGCTGCAGACACAACAGCCTGGTATACGACGGCAAACTCTACACCATCGGAGGACTGGGCGTGTCAGGGAACCTGGACCACGTGGAGAGGTAAGAGTCACGTAAAATCATCAGCAAGCCCGTCTCCAGACACCTCCAGCGGCTCCCAGCTGGTGGCCGCACAGTCCCACGCTGCTCTAACCCCGCTTTGACGTTCGTGTCGGGGAGAGCGCACGCGTGGACGATTCTGCAAATTATAGGCGGATGCTGAGCAATCCAGTTCGAGCAAATACATATTCACACTGCGCAGCGAGACGTGGCAGATGGTGTGGCATGCAGTTGTGCGGTGCAGCATATTGCAAAAAGTGTGTTGGACAGGTTTGTTAGCATTTTCTGTGAGAGCAAAAAGGTGCAGAGCAATGAATCCGAGCCGGAGCATATTAAATGGTCACAGCTGTGAGTGTTGTTGTGCAACGACGAAGCGCCTCTTACGTCTTTCTGAGTGGTGCATGAGTGCGAGGATTTGCTTTCAGAGAGCAGAGTGGTGTGCTGTGTCTGATTCCATCCACTCATCGACACTTCATTTGAAGGTTGTCCACTGTGGCCTATTCAGTCGGGTCTTTTCGTCTTAATTTTTTTTAATCTGTATTTGTTGAAACTCTTCGGCATACAACCCGTATAGACCGCGTTCTCATGGAGTCTAATGAATCCCTAGTGGCACAGAACATGAAAAGGGATCGTCAAGATTTAATCATTTCATTCATATCGATTGAGTTTTGTAACACTGCTCCCTATTTTTTATTTTTCCCTGTAACCTGGGCCGAGGAGTGAGTTTCATGAGAGCGAGAGAGGGCTACCTCCCCTGCACGGCAGAGCGAGATTAACCAAAGCAATCAAAAGAACATTACTGAGTATATTAGAGCAGGCCGCTGCCGCTCATTACCTAGCAGTTCAATTGCTCTCCGAAGCGGCTCGCAATGCACAACAGTCCTCCAAATGAAACAGCCTAATTTGATATTTCCCCGTAATGCTGCCATACAGTGTCATTATGACGGGGGGGTAGATAGAATATTTGCCCCGTAATGGAAACGCATTTGATTCCTCTGTCTCTGAGCTGCTTAATTTGAGAGCTTGCCGCTGCATCTAGGGCATTCGCAGAGATCACCGCTTCACCGCGCGATGTTATTTGTATGTGTTTCTACTTCGGTGCCCCTCGTGCGTGTCTTTCTTTGTGCAATCGTGAAGCTTCTCTGAGGCCCTCAGCAACTGGACTCAATTATCAGCATTGTAGAACCTTAACCTACTTCGCCTCTCTTACGAGAACTGTCAGAGGCCTCTTCTGCTTGATATTACTGCCCGAGCGCTGCACTCTCGAAGGCCGCACCGGCTTGGGGGAAATAACCCGCTCACTGAACAAAATAGTTGAACTCTTAATAGTTAGGAGGCGATAGTTGCGTGGCGCTGTGGCTGAAGCGAACCATTTGTAACACAAGGGTCAGGGTCGTATTCAGCAGCCTTATGTAAAAGCTAACGGGTCTCTCAAACTATTCGGGCAAAAATTGTCGGAGCAGTCAACATGCTTGTTTCTAAGCAACTCAGGCTTTTATTTTGTCTTTTTCAGAAACCACTATGTGGAGCAAAAGTCAAAATCGAGTCAGATGGTCTAAAAAGACTCTTTATTCTTGGAATAAAATACATAAATACATAATGGATTGTGCTTTTAGAGAGGGCACAGACCTATAGAGGAATGTATGTGTGATATTCTAATAACTCGGTGCCCGCTAATGTATTTAGTCGAAATGCCAAGTTTTTCTGGAAATAGTTTTTATGATGATGATTACAAATGCTTTATTCATTGCTTCAGATTTCCATTTAAAATGTGTTATTATGGGAAGTCTACCTTTCTCTCTGTTGAACCGCTGTGAATTCCTCAGACTTCCACAGACTTTGTTGATGAATTGCAGTTTAATCAGCTGGCAAACGCTGGAGGTGCGAGCTGCGTGCACCTTTGTGGAGACCAGAACATCTAACTGTATTTAATGTGAAGAGGCTGACAGCTGTAACTGGGGGATAGCGAGGGCACTGTAAAGGTTGGAAATATTTAGCATTTTGCATATTTGAATTTGCAATATTCTCCGCAGAAATGCTTCACCCTGAACTTTGGGTTGTGAGGAGGAAATTACCCCCGGCACTGGTGATGTTGCATCTTAAACGAGAAGCGTGTAGCCATTCAGAAATCAGTCGGTATGTGCCTCTGCAGAGAAACTACTTCTTTTCTTTGTTGGGTCTTTGAAGCAGAACTATTGTGGTGGGTTATGCATCATTTACATTCATAGTTTTGTAGAGAATTTACTGCTATGAACAGTGTTGTCTACTTCAAACGTATGTTTTAAAACAAGGTATTCATTAGGACTGAATGACAATGTGACCAACTGTTCCACAAGCTGATGCTCAAGCCATAATGCACATTCACATCTTTGAGCAATACCGCTTGAAGAAAAAGAGCTGTTCAACAATCCCACTTCACTTCAAGTGTTATTTATCTCTGTGGGAATGTAAACAGTGCAGAAATTAGGTGACAGCAAAGACAACATAATTGGTCATCTTTGTGATAGACTTCAAAAAATACATCAGTGAGTCTCCCTGAGAGCTGAATAATCCCACCTACTGACAGAATCACATAAATCCTCTATCCAGCCCGAAGCACATCCAGTCTCAACAGAGCAAAGGATGAAGCGAGACAAAAAACACAGGACTTTTGTCCAGGAGACAGCTGTTAGTTCCCCATGTGAAACCAAAAGCAAACATTGACAATAAGTCGCGTGAGTCGCTAGTCACGTGACTTGTTAATCAATCAAAAGTCACTTTAGTTATTAGTCAGTGAAGTTATCGTCAACCACGATATTTTCCTGAACCTAAACCAAGTGGTTTTGTTGCCTAAACCCTAGCTTCCTGTCACGACACAGAGCTTTATTTTGAAATGACACTATGCATGTAAGGACTGGAAAGTGACGCACCGCCACGGACACGTCCAACACTGACATTAAAGGGGTACCACTGACTCAGAGTCCATATTTGACTACCTTTACTTACCTCAATAATAAAATCTCAAATGTTACATACTGTATGTAGCACATACTGTAGCCTTGTTTTAACTTAGGTTGACGCTTAACGTTTTGAGTGGGTCATCACAAATCGCCGAAAAAGGCTCCAGAAATCATTTGGTAACAGAATTTATGATTTAATCCACTGAATTTCTGTTAAAACTGACGGACTGAGGTCTGATTAGTAATATGTTCCAAGATATAATATAGATATTTAAACAGTGTGAAGGAGACAGCGGGGGCAAGTTGTCGCACCTGAATATGCATGTGTGTGTGTGTTGTTGAGGAAGAATGAGCTATTTCAAGGCTTAAGGAGGATTTTTGACACTTCTGGAGATTTGTCAACAACAAGCGGCTGGTCTGTCAAATCAACTCAAAAGACAGGCGCTATAAATCACAAGCAATCTCAGCGGCTTGGGAAAGATCTTGACAGATTAACAGCAGCGGTTTATTTGATAAGACTCATAAACAGGACTTTATATCATTTAATTCCTTGAATTGGTTTATTTGTAACAAGACACCGCACAAAAACACAATTGTTTATCTTATAATTAAACCCAGCTTGAGAACAATTTTCCCCGTAAAAACAATCTAAGTCTTACACAGGCTGAAACCTGTGGACAGCAACGTAACTAAATAAAGGCTCATTATATAACCTTGGCATTGCTCCTGCTCCTACGCACGTGTGCCTGAAGTTTGCTTCTGCATACATTGAAAGCCCTTTTTTTACCTTCAAATTTTACATTTTCACTGAAGAAAGATCATAAAGTCACTTATGAATCATTGCAATCGTCTCATAGCTGGAAAAAAGCAGTTGGTGATTATCACTTTCAGGCCGTTTCTGAAAGCATTTTTTCATATCTTGCCTTGATAAATGAGCCTCATTAATTGCTGATCCTTTATTTTGTAGCTAACCAGCAGATTTGGCAGGTGTTGCTGTGCTGTGAGATGCCGTTGGCTCTACTGCAGCTCAGTATTGTTGGGCCAAAACTCTAAAGATAGCAGAGACTCCAACGGGGAGGCAGCCAGTCCGCAGCAGGACTAAACCCTGGCCAGTGGAGATAAGGGAACTGTTACTCCAGCCTTTTTTCTTGACGCCTCGGCACAAGGAGGAAGAAATACGCCGGTCTGAAGCGTGGTTGTAATGTAGAAGGCTAATAACATTCAGAAATCATTAGTCAGTGTATGTGAATGGCTGCCTTGTTTGATATGCAGATGGCTGGTGGGGATTGCATCTGAAGGCTGGGGAATGGCATGAAACGGTGCGACAGCCAGAGTTGATTTGCTCCGCTCACAGAGTGATTGATGCGCAGATTGTTTACACACGCAGCCAATCTTTTTCATTTTTTGCGTGCGTCTGCATTTCGTGTGTGCGCACTTGTGTGTTCCCGTACTCACTGCTTCTCGAGTATATGTCATGTTACATATGTATGCCTCCGTGCACACGCCTTGTGTTCATTCGCGTGTCCGTCTGCGTGCATCAGCCGGCCTCGGCCAAGGTCTCTCTCCTTCCAACTCTAGCTCCCCGGCTCCTCATTTGCAGTCCTTCCTGGCTCCCTCGCGCCCCATCTCGTCATCCATCTCACTGAGGGTTTCACGCTCCTAACCGTGAAATTCACCCACATTCACAATTATGTCTTCAATCAGAGCCATCTCAAAGCTAGTAGGATGCAGCCTTTCTTTGGGAACGGCAGGAGGTCCAAATCAACGCTCAAAGGTCTGAACGGGCTTACGCCAGTCTCCGCTCTCTACACTAATCACTGACAGAATGTTAGGAGCAGAGAGCAGTCGAGTTCCGGAGGTTTTAACTTGCAATCAGATACCCAGGGCCTGCCTGCTCCCCAGCATGTTGATCCTTTGGCAAACCAATATGATTGCAGATATTGAATAATTCATGGCTGTCTAATGATGTGTCAATCACAGATGGTTTTGTTTTATTTATTGCGCACTATGCACAGGTTTGTGCGTCCTCCAAGCTCTATTGCAAGTTAATATTGCATGAAGACT